GGAATTCAACAACTAAGTAAATAGAGGCTTTTAGTTCAAAGTCAGAACTACGACCACTTTTAGAGCAACAGTTAGTTACAACTTTGTTTGCATTTCAAACTAGTTTTGATCGAGTAAGTAGCAGAATTAAATTAGATTTTTTTCGTACTGTATATTAGAATAAATCTGGTGGTCTGTAAAGATTTCACGATTAAGGATAATAAAATAGCCGCAAACTATTGTGAAATGGGGAATTTAAACTATCATTTCTCAACTATTATAGCGATAGATAGAGATTTTTTATCGGGGAACCCCCTATGGATTCTTTTGTAACAGTACACGCGTAAGACGTATTCTTCAAATCGTTCGAGCTTGTAATTTTGTCAATATGTCAATATAAATCACAGCAGAACAAAGTGGACAATATCTCTGACACTCTGCCAAACGGGGTATTGGTGTGGAAAATACGGGCTCTGACCGGCGTCCGACGTCCGTGGTTAAAGCTGGAAACGTTGTTGAAATGTGGTTAAATCGACGACTTGAATATTAAGTCGTAGGAAGTAATTCTATTTAATACCTACGAAGTAACTAATAAGAATAACAATATTCATGTTGTACCCACTCTGTAATGTAAAAATTGGGAAAATCAATGTGGGGCATTAATAAATTTAACTAGAGTGCACTGACTACGTTTGCGTTTTATTCAATAGATAATTCAACCTGTTGTACCTACATTTCACGTAAGGAAAATACATACTAGGTATTCCTACTGTATCGTAAAATGCAAAATTCTTAAGCATTATATTACAAAAGTGCAAACTCTACATTCAAGCATTGTATTTCAAAAGCGAGGAAACTCAACAATTTCTAGAAAGAATTCTATTATTCTCGTATGCTTTTGCCTATTTTACACTATTTCCGAAGTCTAGTCATGTTTCTGTGTTGACAACAGCAAAGCAAAAAGCGGCTACTGATGTTAGCCACCGTATGTCTGACTTCACGCGGTAAAGGTCGCTGCACAATGCACTGGCCTGGAAAACAAGCGAGCAGCGGTGAATGCAGTTTGGATTGCAACTCATAAGCGCCTGATTTCCAGTCGATTGGTTGGAATTGAAATGGAAACATTATGGACGTAATTGGTACATTTCTTTGAAGAGATGGTGGTTTGGAATCTTTTACAATTCCGAAGCTTTGTCATTCAACAATAAGCATTTTTAATGAGAAAGGATAAAAAAATGTTAAGTATTGTTATACCTATACGAATAGGTAAACTTAAAATAGTCCAACATAAAAAACAAGTCACTGTTGAAGAGCTAAGTTTAGCAAGTAAAAACAACAATAACAAGATATTTAAAGTTTTGTTCGAAAAAAATAATATAAAAGCCATAAATAATGTGCTTTAGCTACAAAAACATGACGAAAGGAATAAGGATTCAAATCGGAAAGTAGGAAAACATTGTAATTGTATAAAAAATCTTTTTAAGGCTTCGGGAACTTGTAACAATGATCTTTCCTGGAACGACTCCGATATTGTTCTTTACCCAAATATTGTTGTTTTCCCCCTAATTGGTCGGGTTTCGTGAACAATATAGTTTATTTGAAATTCATAACTTGCGAAATTGTTTTTCTAACTCGTTTCAACGTCACATATCAAAGAAAGGAGGCCATCAAGTATTTGTTATTATGCTACATTTCCAACTGTATTGAGTTCTAATAAACATCACTTTAAATCAAACTAACGCGAAATGATTTGCAGTGGTCCTACTTAGTATAGTAAGTAGGGTAGGCACTTAAATATAAAACAAATAAAATTCAGTACATAGTTCTAAGGGAAAAAATATATTTGTTACCTACCTAAGTACTGTCCGATAGCTCTAATAAATCAAGAAGTAATTTTAACAGGGTCACTTAGTAATACCACTGGGAAACGAAATTACTCGTGACGTTTTAACTGTTGGATCTTGTGGTCTGCTTGTGCAGAACATACAAAATTGATATCCCATCTTGTATTTGCGGACATTTTCAAAATGGAGACCTATCTTGCAAGTGTGTATCACGTAGGTACAGCAATCAAGATAACACCTGAAACGTGAACGTACAATTACACCGGCCCATCTAACTAGTTATCGGCTATCCATTGTGGCAGCGGCTTTGTTCTCGCGATAGCATCTTGATTCAGTCTCCATCGCTAATGGACTTGCTTTGGGACAAACGCCATGTCCTTGGTTGAGAACAAAGCGTATGAAATCGGACGAGGACTGGACAGGCGTGCGTATTGTTGCGATGTGTGAGTGAGTGCTTTTGTTTTTGAGTGTCAGATAGTCACCAACTCCGTAGACATGCAAAAGTTCTGCATAAACTGTTCATTACAGGTCTAGCGGTTAACTCAGTCAGTGCCTGAAGTGTGGGAGCGACACGGGAGGGGTGATTTTGACATGTTATGACGTGACAGATAATGATAGATTGCCCGGAGTCCTGCAAGCAGGACTAAAAGTACTTCCGGAAGGACGCAAAATTTAAAGATCACAGTTTCATAAGTATACATTGTACAAAGTTCAAATTTACACGAAAAAATAGAGTGTTTCTCTCTCTTTCACCCAATAGTGCCCAAGATCGAAAAACGCGACTAACCGTTAGTCGGAGCCCGATGGCGCACGACACGAGTATACACGGGGGCAGCGCGTTCGCGCTCGCGCGACACATTTTGATGCGCCGGGCCTGGAGTCGGCAACATTTTGGCGATAATATTATAATGAATGTGAAGTATTCCAGCTTAATCAAACATTTATAATTTATTTCTTGTTTTTGTTTTTAATTTGTAAGTGATAGGTGTAATTTCTAATACAAAGTGACGTACCAAAGTATTTAATTTAAAGTTCCTAATTATAGTTCCTATTAGTTAAGTTAAAAGAAGATAAACAAGTTTATAATATATTAAGAAAAGTAAAAGACTGATTAAACGAAATGATTCTACGACATGACTTTTTATTTAATAAACACTAACCAAGTGTTTACTACTTCTGGTGATGATGAGTTCAAATTTGAAGGTCACCGTACTGCTGGAAGGACCAGCAAGCAAACACGTACAATTGCGTACTGCGGGCAGGACTTGCGACAATCTTCTGGCAGGACGTTTAGAACAAAAAACCAGTCCTTCCAGAAGAGCTTCCAGCAGGACAAAGCACCGGGCAATCTATCAATAATCATAAGAAGGCTCAAGGTCACGCAAAGGGCGATGGAGCGGGCTATGCTCGGAGTTTCCCTGCGTGATCGAATCATAAATGAGGAGATCCGCAGGAGAACCAAAGTAACCGACATAGCTCGCAGAATTGCTAAAATCAATTGGCAGTGGGCGGGGCACATAGCTCGTAGAGACGATGGCCGTTGGGGCAGGAAAGTTCTCGAGTGGCGACCACGGGCTGGAAGACGTAGCGTGGGCAGGCCTCCTACTAGGTGGACCGACGATCTGGTAAAGGTCGCGGGAAGAGCCTGGATGCGGGCAGCGCAGGACCGTTCATTGTGGAAAACCTTGGGGGAGGCCTTTGTCCAGCAGAGGACGTCATTTGGCTGAAACGAACGAACGAACGATGACGTGCGTGACAGAGCATATAAACTGAAGAAGATCGTTTACGTTCGAAGTTACAAAAACACCCTCTCGTGCCACTCCCATACTTCAATTCTGACTGAGTTAACTACTAGACCTGAATCAAATACTTGTTTGTTAACCCATTCAATGCAGCACACGCCGATCGGCGTTCTCTCTGTAATTGCTCTCTAAAAGTGTGATTTTTGCTGACGCGTTGACGCAATGGGTTAAACTAAAAATGTTTCAACCTGAACCTACCTAGTCAGAGTAAACATTTTATTTGAAAATACAGGTATTACAACTTCTTATGATGGCATAGCATTTAATAAGTTGATGTTCTGTCATCATGCTTTGTTCGCAATAAAAATGTTGAGTAAAATAAAAATACCAAAGTACAAAATTTTAAAATATTCTAGCCTCTGAGGTAATTACCCTTTTAAAACGTTGATGTTCGTATATGGTAGGTACACTAGTATGTATGCATACATTTTTATGACATGGTATAAAGTAGATAGTAAACTTTTAGTACCTAGCAATTTGTTTGTGCATTGTCTTTTGAATAAGCTCCTTTGTCTTTGTCCTTTATTTGCGAGGTCTGAGAAGAAATGTCATCAAACCCATTGTCTGCCACTGAAATACAGTTAAATAAGTATTAAACCAGTAGGTATATCATTTAATTTAAGAGTAATTTCGCGAATTTCGTGACATTTACAATATCGTTGGTTTATCATAAAATCGTTAGAAAGCTTTGTGAAGTAAGTTTATAAAAAAAGCTCGTAATATTAATAAAAATAAAGCTATACGAACTCAACGCAAAGTAAAGCCTGTGAATGGTTGATTTTTTTTAAATTTTGTGGACAGTACGCAGTACGCCTATGCAGTACGCTTTGAATCCATTATCTATGTTGCGGACTCCTTGGCCGCACGACACTGGCCACCGTGAAACTTCATTCTTTTTTCATTCGACCAATTTCGATATTCTTTTGTTTTTTCTATCGCCTCGACTCATAAATTCTCACTTATTTTACATTCACAACTTAAGTTTAGACCCCACTGCATTCAATACTACTGCAAGTAACTGAAGCAAGTCCTCTTCTTTCCTTTTTATCTTCTAATTACCGTTAATTAATACTATGATATTCCATTTTTAGTTCGCACAGTTTGATCACTGATTAAACAAACTTCATTAGCATAATAATTTTGGATTCTACAGTTAACATTTCAGCGTTATCTTTGCTTTAGTTGCGTAGTCTGCGTACTGCTACGATTTTAAGAGACTTCAGCGCAATATTTTATGAACATATTTTTTCAACAAAATCAAGTTGCGAAGCATTATTAAGATGATTAAAGGCCTGTTTGGCTGCGTATCGCTCAAAGGAGACTAAATATTGTAATGGAAGCGTGTAATCTAATATAGAGTGTTTGTTTGTTACAGCGCATATCTCAAAGACGACTTCGCGGTGCTACCCTACCTGGATGCTGGGTTCAACAGGGTGAGTACAAAAAATGGTATATTAGGCTGAGTTGTCCACTTTGACAAACGTCAAAAATCTGTCAAACTCCATACAAGAGGCACCGGTTATTGTCATTGTTACGGTTAAAATAAGGTGGTGCAACTCAGCCTTAGTTGTTTGTTGTAGTTCACGAGGGCGAGTGACCTTTACATGTGTGGTGGCTCGCTACTGTTCGTTTTTCAAAAGTTTTGATAGACATCACACTATCGTTATGTGCATGTACACGTACACACACAAGTAAAGCTCACTTGCCTTCGTGAGTTTCAAAAACTATACTAGCTTTTACCCACGGCTTCCGCGTTTAATTCAGTTTATCTATCATCGAAATTATAGAACATACGAGTATGTTAATTCTTATGCATAGGTACCTAAACAATAATGCTGTAAAGTTTCATCAAAATCTGTTTAAAATTTTTTGCGTGAAAAAGTAACAACCACAAATCCATACATCATAACAAACTTTCACATTTATAATGTTAATAGGACTAACTTTTTCCTATTAGAAGATTTCTTAAGAAAGTTGCTTAAGTGCTATTCTATTAAACAATGTTTCTTACAAGGTGACCCGCAAACTTTTCATAACCGTTGAGAAAAGATGGACTCTCCATAAAAACTAAATCATCCTCTATTTCACTCACTTCTTCGCGACTAATGTTCAATCTATCTCTATAATGAAATGAACTGCACTGCAATGAAATGAACAGCTTTGAATTCAGACAGGAAATCCTAAAAAATACTTAATCAAATAACCAGCACAGTCCTCCTCAATTTACGATTCACTGACTCATCTATTCATTCGTCAGCAGTGTACCTAATTACTCGAAGGACACTCTACCAGCTCTATTGAAATCGATTTCAGAGTAGAGTTCATCTCTTTTACTCCTTATGCGAGTGAAAGAGAGAGGCGTATTGTCATTTTAATAAGAGTCTTATAAAGTTGACCCCCAAGTAGGGTTGCCAGGTGTCCGGACTTTAGCCGGACATTCTGAACATAATTTGGCTTTTTTTTACGGATGTGTCCGGCCAAAGTTAGCGTCAGTTGAAAATCGAGCGCACAAGTAAAGCCATGACGCGATTTTTTTTATTATGAAAATATTTTCTGCTTTTGGAACATAAGGGCTTTTATAAAGCTATGATTAGCCATTAAAAAATATATGTCCGGCTCTTAGAGCAAAATGTCCGGCCAAATTGAGAACAGAATCCGGCTTTTGTGTTTTTGAACCTGGCAACTCTACCCCCAAGTCTGTTCGAACTGAAATATATACGTATCCATTATATCCTGCCGTACAGACGCTGCTTTGTGCCAGCAAACAACGGAAATTGTATTCTCGTCTGCCGTCAGGCTTTCAAACTGCGGGGTTCGTACGGTTGTACAGGGTTCCGTAAAGCGATCGGTGATTAATCGTGAACGATCTAACCGACCGTTTTTTTAATGCAAAGGAAATGCTACTTTATGTATTCCTTCAACGGCTTTTTTGGTCTGGTCGATTAATGGTTAAATAATCTACTCAAATCTGAAGTAACTAAATCGCAAAGTCTACGAAATCCTCATATCCGATGTAAATTAGGCGGAAAATCTCTTATCGCCATAGACTTTGCCATTTTATCTACCTCTAACATTGAAACAATTACGAAACACAATAAACCAACTTCCAATTAGATTAACATATCTCGAACGCTTGTAATTCGTATTTCGCAGAACAAGGAGCTTTGAACTTAAAGCTCCAGTTTCTGCGAAGTCATGAGTAGTTCGCCTCAAATCCAGTTTAACGCAATCTCGAACTAGATTGAAATCTTCGAATTCGATCCTCAAATCTTCGCCAAAAATCATTTTCGATCTGCCATTTGACGCGGCAATTCCATTTTTCCCGAGCTTCATTTTGTGCCGACTAGTTGAACGACAAGTCGGCTCATTTGTCGCTGATAAGCCCAAATTCCGTCCTTTGTTCAGACATAAAGGCATACCGAATCAGCAGTATTTGAATCTCAGTAATATTTCTTGGGAGCATCTCTGAGCCGTGATATAGCTGTAGAATATTTACCAATTTAGTACCTTGTAGAATGCGAATCTTGGTTTAAAGGAGAGCGAAAAGAGTTGTGAAATTGTCGATTTTTGAAAACCTATTAACTATCGGCAAGCTCGCAACATTGTTAGGTTAAGATTTGAAATAAAAACGCTAGTAAGTAGTTAATAAGTTCCAAAAAATCGACAATGTCACAACCTCCTCTGTTACAACTCTCCTCGGTCTCCCATATACATATTATAAGTATTCGTTGGTGAATGTTTTTGGTAATAGAAAAGAAAAGAAAACAGCAACTTTTGACGATTGGTAATTTTAATCAGAAATTTCTTGACACGCTCGAGTTGTTAACGAACGCATAAAATACCTTTAACCATTTATGCTGTATCAAAGGCGATTTTCAGTATAGAATAGAATTAATTTTTATTGCAATAATCTAATTTAGTAAGTCAAATCTATTGCATAGTTAACACAGACCAAAGCGAGCAGTTCTAACAGCCACTGAAATTTAGCATTCCCAATGGACAGCTGATATTGCCGTTAACTTCAGTCAAATACCAAGTAAATGTAAATCCTTCCACTAAATTAATCTACTGTCGCCTCAATAATTTCGCTAGCTCTTCACTGACTGAAATTCAACGGGATTCTTTTTACGATCCCGTTCGTCTGGAAACTTTCGGTCTGTAAACAACATTGCCGTATCTTATTTGTGTGTGTTTTTATATTAATAGTAAAGCATACATACATCAGGCATTAAACTCTATAGTTGCCTTTATTTCATCTCAAATTATTGGTAAGTATTTATTAACATGCCAAATTAAAGAAGCCATAAAAATATAGATTTTGTAAAATAAAAAGCCGCAATAGTGCAACTGGGAGCTTTTCATTGCTTAATTACATTTTCACTTTGCTAATGAACATCCATTAATGGTAACATGATATTAATCTTAAAAAAATATTTATCGTGAAAACTCTCGCATGTATTCTGCGTAGTATTATGGCGTCACAATGAAAGATCCAAAGATATATTATGTCAACACGACAAACAAAGGCTGCGTGACACGTTTGTAGAATAAAAGCCTCTTACGACTCGTTCACTTCAAGTTATAAGCGAAATAACATACAATTGGTCTCTCAACTAAATTGTAATAGAGACGTTTAGCCCTTGCTACGACATGATAAGTGCTAATTAAAGCTTCATTCTTATCATATTGTAACACAATTATCGCTTTTTCCCGGGTGATTTTCATAGAGTCTCTAAACGGTATTTATCATGTGAGAGAAGCTCTAAAGACTGTAGCATCGTAGCTAGATTAAAACTGTCTTATTATTGTCCGCACTAATGGACCCCAGCTTTTTAGCAGACAGAAGCATTAAGGTCGTTGTCGAAAGCAAATGCTCAGATTCTATGTCTGTGAATGCTGGTGTCCCCCAAGGCTGTGTGCTATCGCCTACGCTCTTCCTTCTGCATATCAATGATATACTGCAAATTAGCGGCATTCATTGCTATGCGGACGACAGCACGGTTGATGCCGCTTATACCGGCCGCGCAAATATCTCTCGGGAGAACGTCATTGAGAGCCGTAACAAACTTGTGTCCGAAATTGAAACCTCCTTGAAGGAGGTCTCAGACTGGGGTCGACGCAATTTGGTCCAATTTAACCCTACAAAAGACACAAGTTTGCGCGTTCACCGCCAAAAAGTTGCCGTTTGTCGTATCCCGCTGTTTCGAGAGCACTCCCCTAACTGCCTCAGCCAATATCGGAATCCTTGGTGTCGACATATCGAGCGAAGTCCAGTTCCTTCACCTTAAAGGCCGGTAACGAACATGTGAGGCCCCTGGGTCTGCGGGTGTCTATGGTCGACGGTAATCACTTACCATCAGGTGATCCGTCTGCTCGTTTGCCTCCTGTCACATAAAAAAAAATAAAAAAAAATATTTGTTAATAAAGTGGGACTAAGATGGGACTGTTTAACTTTAGGCCAAAAAAACTCACACTCAAGGGACATCAAACGTGGGTGTATAATCTCTATGGGTGCGGGCAAAAGTATAGAGCACCATAAATGCATTGTACCTACTATCTTATTGATTCTTGGCGTTCAATCCTATTCCGATGCGCTTTGTACTTTGGACCATCTCTGACATCACATACCGTGAACTGGGGTGTTATTCATTGAATTTTGAAAGCTTGAAATTGCATTTTCTGTTGTTTCAATACTGTGTCTGTATAAAGCATCGATATGGCTCATTTGATATGATTAAATTATTTGTTTACAAAAAGAACGAAATAATTAGAAATGGTAGGTACATTTTAACACAAACATTTTCAATCTTTATGCTGATTATGGTACTTTACTGTGTAGAAAATCTATTCACCACCAAAATCCATGGCATCCTGGCAAAAATTCATCAATCACAATAACCCTCTTCGCTGACATTATAATACGTAGGTACTTACCTATGTTTGAATTAATTTCAGCGTAAAGGGAGTGTTGGCCAAATTATCCATTTGCCTTTGATAAATCAGAGAAAGTCGTGCTCCTGTAGCTATGATCAAAACAACTCGACAATAATGGCGATATTTCTATTCTCCAGATCATGGTGGAGACAGTGGGTGCGACAGCATGGTGCGCTGAGATGCTGCAAGCACGCGCCTCGGCAACAGCTGCGCGGGCGCAGATCGCCGCGGTGGCAGCCCTGGCCGCCGCCACCGACCGCTGTCGGGACCTGGTGGCCGTCACTGATGACCAGCAGAGGATACTGGTGAGATATTTATGTTCTCCAGGTCATGGTAGAGACTGTAGGACCAACAGCAGCAGCAGATCGCCGCCACTGACCGCTGTCGGGACCTGGTGGCAGTCACTGATGACCAGCAAAGGATACTGGTGAGATATTTCTATTCTCTAGGTCATGGTGGAGACAGTAGGACCAACAGCGGCAGCAGATCGCCACGGTGGCAGCCCTGGCCGCCGCCAAAGACCGCTGCCGGGACCTAGTGGCCGTCACTGATGATTAGCAGAGGATACTGGTGAGATATTTGCGCTGCGCTGAGATGCTACAAACACTAGCTACGGCAAGCCCTGGCCACCGCCACCGACTGCTGTAGAGATCTGGTGGCCGTCACTGATGACCAGCAGAGGATACTGGTGAGATATTTCTATTCTCTAGGTCATGGTGGAGACAGTGGGAGCAACAGCATGATGCGCTGAGATGCTACAAACACTAAGCCACGGCAAGCCCTGGTCACCGCCACCGACCGCTATAGATACCTGGTGGCCGTCACTGATGACCAGCAGAGGATACTGGTGAGCTAAGTTCTTAGTCTAATGACATGAGTAAAGAGAGGATTGTAAGTTAAAAACTACAATGATACAGAAAGCCTCCCTAACTCCTCTGGCCAGGGTGGAAAGTGTATGTCAACAGTAGAAAATACAAAGTGTGCGTCTGTTCTGATACTACCGCTAAATACACAATTATTTAATTCATTTAACGCTCTATCATTTTGTAGCGCTATATATAATTTAAATTAGATTTAAATTAGTACTTTCCGAGAATGGTGTACATAGGCAGATTGGGAATGGAAATAGGATAGTGTACAATTTAAATTTTACAGAACGTAAATATTTCTCGTTCGGTCTAACTAGCTAGAAATACTGGGAACTCTCATTTATTTTAACACACTTGAGGATCGCTTGGTAACTAGGAACGATGATTAAATGAACTAGATATTTAAACGAAACGCTCTTTTAATAATTATATTATGATTATTATACTTACTTAAGGCTTAATTTTGATATGATAAGAGTTATGATTATGATAATCTTTAAACTGACGCCTGACGACGAATTTATTGGCGGCCGTGTCCGTGTAGCAAAGTTCTGGAGAGGAGGCCTCAGGCCACGTACCTGAAAAAGTGACGTGAGACGTCCACCTACAAGGTGGACCGATGACCTCGTTTATGAGGTAGCAGGAAGGAAAAGAAAGAATATGCAGGCGGCTACCCACCGGGGGATGTATAAATCATTCCTAGACGTCCTGTGGCTGAATTGATGATGATTATCTTTAAAAAGGAGATAAATAAATATGTCTCTGTGGATGTCAAAAGGTAGTGGTGATCGCATGCCAACGTGACTCACATTAAGGTACATTTTCTCCCTGTATATAAATACAATGAATTCAAATCATCCCCTTGAAGTATAATGGGATTGTGTGTAAACAAAAATGGCGGGTACGATATGATTATTATGTTTTCTCTGTCGATAAGGAGCTTTTACACTTTCGCGGAAATGGGATACCTATGTAGACTTGAAAATTGAATTTCTGTCTGTTCGGAGTAAGCGTTCAAATCGGTTATTTATAGCGAAAAAATATTCGCTGGGGAACATTAAAACCAGTTTCAAGACTAGTGTTTATTCTTTTTGTCTCGTACATTTATGTTATTTATTTTATCTAATGCTATGTAAGTATTTAATTAAACGTCATATTTATTGCACCGCCTTAGTCTCTCTACTCGACCTGTGGTTTACTGGCAGATAATGCCACCTTTCATTAAGTCCGCCACTGTACAATTGTATGTGCAAAAGTGTAAATACATAAAAAAAAATAGTAGATCGGTTATTGTTACAAATGTTTTCTAATTTTGTTAGGTATATTATTCAGTTCGGTTTCACTTCATAACTACTTATCAATGTAATAAACTCAGATCATAGAAGGGAATAGATGTGAAACGGGGGCGTGGCGCGTGTCTCCGCGATATGCCCAGAAACGAACATCGCCCGCGACGCCAGGTTAGTCGCGATTCAGTCGTACCGAGGAAATGTTCTCCGATATTGTTGGATAATGCGTCGTAACGTGCAATAACATAAGTGAAACGAAGAACTAAAGGAACAATGAAGTCATTTACCACATGTAAGTATTGCAAATCCATTGGTATTTTGCTTATAAATAAAAAAAACTAAACATTTTTACGAACGAATTCAGTGCCGTGACATTTACTACGATATCGCAATTAGTGGTGATAAAAATTCAAACACGTTGTACATTGACGATTTAGTTAGCAACCACTTTATGTCATGCGTAACTACTGCGCAATGTATTTTATTTCTTCCGATATCCACTGACGCGTGAAAATACACAGTACGGCCGCATGTGCCGGTCGTAACATAGTGCAGGGCTCGTGTTCTAATACGGTTTCCTATTATCGATAAATAGAAGTAAATTATTATTTTCTATTTTCTAATTTTGAATGAAAAAATCATGAGTTGCTTGCGATTTTTAAGTTTTTACAAAAACAATAACAATAGTAGAAGGGATTAGTAACTGTCAACTATGTAATTACTATAAGAGCTAGTTGAAAGCCTAATATAGGCATTATTTTTGATAAACATAGGCGGTACGAATTTCGCCATAATTAAAAAGTTAATGCGCGATAGTAGTTAATAATAATTACAGTGATCCTGTTATTATTATTAAAGTAAATAATAATATATTACCAATATTGTAAATACTGGTAAAAATCGCAAGTACCTACTTAACCCATGACTTTTCATACAAACTTTGTCAGTCTATAACTTCTATACTCCATCGATAACGACATTGAGCTTTGGTTGGGGTAAATTAATATAAGGTAACTTCATTTAGTCCCAATAATTGATTCTGAGTTTTTCGTCCATACAAAATGGAACTGACTCCTTTATGCAAAAATCGTTAAAGAACATAATAATAACGTATAATAATAAAAAGGTTTTCATACAAGCATTTTTTAAACCAATTTCGAGCCTTGCCCCCAGGATTTAAAGTATCGATATCTTATCGACTCCATTTTATCTTTCTTCTCTCTAATTGCTTTTTTCAAAGTGTGCGTCACGTCACGCGGCCATTGATTGGCCATAAGGCACGCCTTCTGGCCAATCACAGCACTTTTAAGCCGGTTGCACATGTTGTCGTAGACTCTCAGTCGCTTTGTTTTTACACAGTTGAATGTGTGTGTGGGAGCTGTGGTGGGGGAAATGTGGGGACACTGGTTTTCGTTGTAGTTACGCGCGACTTCATATCTATTCTCTTTCTATGATCTGAGGTAATAAACAATCGATGTGACCGAACCACTGAAATAAGAGGTAGGTAACATAAACGTCAACCGGGCAACATGGAGAGCATTGGGGGAGGCATATGTTCAGCAGTGGACGTCTTATGGCTGAGATGATGATGATGATGATGATGATAATGATGATAATGATGATAATGATGATAATGATGATAATGATGATAATGATGATGAACATAAACGTCGTGTAAAACTAGCGAGGTATCTTCTACCTTTACAAGATATTAGACTTTAGGTATTAGACTTTAATGTTGTTGTATTCTAAAATTAACTCCGAATATCCAATTTCAGCTCACCAACAAATCCTGGTGCCGGGTTCTGGGCTGGCGCGTAGAAGACGGACCCAGACCGTTATCAGAGGCGGCGGGGGGCGAAGCCCTACGGCTGGCCACGAGCGGCGCCCGCGACTGGGAGGCACCCGTGACTCTCCGCCGCAGGGCTGCTCCTGACCCGATCCTGCTGCCTTGCAGGGGTGCCACAGTAGCCATGACCAGGTATTACTTACTCACACTAGGAGTCATTTTACCATCGGTCAAAAAAGATTAGTTTAATTTTTAAAGGTAATGCGTATGCAAATTAGCATTGTTTGACCTGGGACCTTAAACTTTTGATTTTTTGACTGAAAAGAGAGAACATATTTTGTTAGAATGATGACTTCACGCATGCAAAGCCACCAATTAGCTAGTCAATGCATTTAAAAATGGAAACATAATTTACTTTGATCACATTTTATGGACTACCTATAAGTAAGATCAAGGATTGTTTTGAAGCTTTGAGAATAACACCTAATGCTATAACTTCCCAAAACCCTCTAATTCCAGGACCATCTCTCACGTAGTGCTGGTCTGCGAGCCGACCAACGTGACAGAAGGGGAACGCGCCCGCGGCTCCCTTCACTCCATCCGCCGCGGTTCCTTAGACGTCCGCTCGGTCGCCTCCGACGGCCTCCGAAGAACATCACTAGCGAAGCTTCAAGGACTGCCACTTGAAGCTCCTATTACTAAGGTATCTAATGATTCTTGATACTTTTTTCTAGTCTAAAAATTAAGTTATTACTCTTCCCAGTAGCTGCAGCAAGATTGGCAGATCTGAGTGAAACGACACGGCTTGTTCTTCTTGATGATGAACTCTTACGAGAGTTATGGTGATGATGATTTTGTCAATGATTTAGCTGCATGAGTCATCACGTTCCTGATAGCCGCCTGCTGAATGCATTCATCAGCACTTACCCTTGCCCTTATCTTGACATGCTATAAGCTGAAACCTTTGTTATTTATGTACCTGTGGTATAGGATTCCTACGATTTGATGTTGCTGATGTTTTCTCTTCACGAAGGTAGTATTATTTTAAAATGTTTTCTCCCCCCAATCTTCTCAAGTTGAAGCTGCAGACATGAGCTAAGTATGGATCTAAAATCTAAGTATACCTTACTAACGTTACTTTTCCCTAATTTTGGCTTAGCGATATTGGTTAATATTGGGGCATCTTCACCCTTACAATAGCACCAAGGCAGAAGCCATTGTTTTAACGGTGCTGTATTTTGTAAGCCTATCCTGAGCGCGCGGCGAGGCTCTCTGGACGTGCGGTCCATAGCGTCCGACGACCTGCGCAGGACCTCCCTGGCCAAGCTCCAAGGACTGCCTCTAGAAGCACCCATCACCAAGGTAAAGGTGTTCGATGTAGTGTTCCCAGTTGTGAGCTAGTCGGTGGAGTCATGTGTACACGAGCAGTTCTATTGATTTGAAGAGTTACTGCGAAGCCAGGGGTCTACTCCGAAACGCTGTTCACGTAGTTTCGGGTCTATCTGTCACCGTCGCTCATGCTAGCATTTCGCTTTGTGTGGGAGAGATGGCAACATTCGAAACTTCGGATAACGTTTTTAGGAATACCCCCGCTGTTTTTGGTAGATAAAAAGTGGATCAGAAAGTAATGTTCCAATTGATAGTATTGCTCATCGTCGTGATAATACATAGTTGTATCTGGTTGTATCCTAATCTAGGTCCTTTAGTTGTCTTAGATAGTATGTGTTAATCAGTTGTACTAATCAATTCAATCGGAAGGTAAGGATTGTTCTATATTGTCGTAATTTGTTGGGCACTTACATTTTGTACTAACACTAGCGTTCCTGGTTCGAATGCCGACTCCATTCATTCATTGAAGGGTTTGTAAAAAACGTCTTGTATATTTGTGTCAATATGTAAAGTCTGTAGTCTATCCAGACCGTTAGGTATTTTGTTTTATACCAATGGCATTCTGGATAACTTTTGAACACTTAATTCACAGGAGTTTTTACTTTCAATGTTCATTCTATTGACTTTCTTCCTGTTTCGTGTGTAACAGTCCTCTTTTTGTGTCGTTATTCTGTACTTATTTACAATTCTTTTAAGTTCTTCTAACCAATGAAAAAGTTGTTCATACCTCGTCAGTTTATATTTAGACTGATCGTTTAACACTCTTTACTGGGGGGACCTTTTTGGCACAACTTGTACTTTTTATCTGTGTGCCAAAATGTATACTTTCTCAGGGACCTATTTGGCACACTTTTTTCTTTATTGACTTGTACAGACGATAGCACATCAAGCTATACATGGTGGCCTCATGTCCTTAGCAGTAGAAGCAATAGTCTTTATGTGCTGCTGTCGTCTGCACTATTTAAATAATCCAATTTCGTCCGTTTTTTCTCAATCTACCCTCATCTTACAGGTGATAGCCCTCCTCTCAGCTGCCCAAGAGGGTGCTCCGCCCTCCACAGTGGCTTGCATCGAGCGTGCTGTGGACATGCTGCGAACATCTGAGCTGTACTCCCCACAGATGAGGGATGACTCCAAACTAAGGGTAGAAGACCCAATCGCCACAGACCTGATTGGTGCACTGCTCTCGGTGAGTAGATTAGACATAGATTCTAATATCTAATCGAGAAGTTGTCTTCTAGATTTTTTTTTGTTATTTACCAGTTTCTTTATTTTAGATGTGATCTATGCCCATTAGTATGTAGTTAGTGTAAATAGTTTTTTATTTAGTTGTGTTCATTTTCAATATGTTATTTAAACTTTGTTTTGTTAGCTTGGAAGTAGTTTGCCAAGTTCTGATATAAAAAGATTTTTAAATAAATTGGTTATAAAAAACTTTAAAATAATTTAATTACTAATTTATTTATGGTGCAATTTAGATTATGGTGTATTAATTTGCATACTTATTATTTTTATATTTTCACACCGGGACTTTGGTTACAGCATGGGGATTATAATTTGGGTTTAAAATTGGTAGTTCGAATAGCCTTTAACTTCTATTATGTATTATTGTAAAATATTTTGGTACTAACATTTATACATTTATTTGTCCACGATCCGGTCTTCGGAAAGCGGGAGCAAGGGAACACAAACCTTATCTACATGGTAGGAAGATTGAAAAGCATTCGTCTCTTGTCTCTACCTTCTTTGAGTTTTCTAACTAGTGCGTTTGCGTCCAGACTTTAGCTGATTAGAAACTGTCTTCAAAACTAAAGTTCCATGTTACGTTCACGTGAGAATGTTTTCCAAAGTTTAGTGAAGTTAACAAAACTTGGCACATTTTTTACTCATTGAAAATGTTATTTACGATTATTTTAACTCCTAAAGTCAATGAATCTCGATGTCTTATTTTGATTCGATTAAATTGGCCCTAGGTATATGAAACAACATAATTTTAATAACATTTACCTTACATTTTCTTAAATTAGTTTTGCAATTACTAAAAATCAAAACTCAGATCTTTTCCTTACTATGTTACGTTACATTAAAAAAATGTATCTTTATGTGTTACGTACAAGATTTGAGTTCAGTTAAAATTATTGTACTATTTTGGAGAACTTTCCACGCCGTTATTTTCGCAAATTAGATCCTCGACAACTCAAGCTTCATTTAATAGAGTAGGTATTGTATTTGTAGTAAACCTACTAACCCATCTTACATGCCAATGTTTCAACCTCTGATCAACATTTCTATGTCGCTTCTACATGTGTACCTACGTTTATAACTTATTGTTTTACTAACAGCATGTAAATAAAACAATTTTAATTTTAAATTAAGAATAATTGTTAAGGAAATTGGATACATTCTGCTTGTAAATATTGCATAGTTTGATACTAAAAATTCAGTAAAATTGCCAATAAAAATGTTTAAAAATCAATGGCTAAATGTAGATTTTTTTAATTAGCATTTCCTTTTACCAAATATGTACATGAATTATGCTTTTGCATTGAATAATGTTACTAAAAGTAGAGAATGTGTTTAGAAATGTAAGTTTTTTAATTCAGGAATTATCTTTTATTTGCACATTTAGGATTTTTGGATTTCACAACCATTATTGAAATAAAGAATGAAACGCACGCGTATCTAATACAGGCATAAAGTCACGGGTTTCGACCATCTGAAACTAGGGTTATGGTCAATTTGCTACAGCGTCGACTCATCACAGGGAAAAGAATGTATAAATTCGTCACACTTCACATTTCTCATTACAATTTGAAACTTATTGAAGTTTATGACGATTTTATTTTAGATTATTATAAATAATTTGTTATTTCACAAATTATTAATAGTCCCGTTAGCCTCTCGTACTAAGCTAAATATGCTTGTATCACGACTCCACGAGTGAGCTCACCACAATCGGAACCCGCGTTCCCCGGTTCACGAGTCGACCAGTCCGACCCCTTCACCGTTCAGCTACCGTGGCTTAAAAATACTTCTAATATATTTAAAGTGTGGCGAATCGACTATGTGACAAATTGACAATAACCCTGAGACTTCTGTGTGACCTGTCCTATTTAATATTGTTAATGCGAGCTAATTCTTAATGTTAATGTATTTTCAGCAAGGGCCTACAAACGTGCTGTCGTCACGACGCAGCAGTAATGACTCCACTGTTGTCAGATCACAGACCAACAGGACTAACATCAAACACAAAGTAAGTTCATTTTCCTACTTAATGAAGAATATGTCACTGATCAGCACTTAGATAGAAGGCTCGGTTGCACCATCAAACATTATCAAACGTCAAAAGCCTGTCAAACTACATATAAAAACACCGGTTATCATTATAGTTGCCGTTAAAGTTAGGTGGTGCAACTCAGCCTAAGGTTCTTTGAAACTTGTCTTTACTAAGTTCTTTTAAATTAAAAGCGAGTAACTATTTCTCTCTACTTATATCACGAATAAATCGCAAGACCAATTTTAAGGATTTACCTATCTCTATAGTTTGCCTATTTTTGGAAGTCCCAAACTCAGGTGATTTTTTTAGAAGAAAGAGTTTAGTCTCCAATTATGTTAAACAAGCAAACTTAGAATGAAATGTTGACGTTATTTCCTGAACAGGCGTCAGGCCAACTGCGCGAGCTGCTAGACACAGCTCTAAGCTGGGACTTCGAGATCTTCCGCCTCGAAGAACTAACCAGAGGCAGGCCGTTAGCTCACCTGGGCCTGGCGTTGATGGGTGGCCGTTTTGACATCTGCGCGACCCTCGAGTGTGATGAGAGAACGCTACTGCATTGGCTGACGGTGGTGGAGACGAACTATCATGCGGTTAATACGTACCACAACTCGACACATGCCGCCGATGTTCTCCAGGTACGACATCATCAGGTCTTTTAGACTTTTTTACAGGAACACGACATTCTTTAGTTTGCCAGAAGCAAACGGAGGATTTGACTTATATGGGGCTGGTACTGATGGGTGACCGCTTTGTCATCTGCGCGACCCTGGAGTGTGATGAGAGAACGCTACTGCATTGGCTGACGGTGGTAGAGACGAACTACCATGCGGTCAATACGTACCACAACTCGACTCACGCTGCAGATGATCTCAATGTAAATCATCATCATCAGTTCATTTAGACTTCTCTGCAGAAACACGACATTCTTTAGTTTACCAGAAGCAAACGGAGAATTAGACTCATCTGGGGCTGGCTTTTGATGGGTGGCCGGTTCGACATCTGCGCGACCCTAGAGTGTGATGAGAGACCGCAGTAGCATTGGTTGACGGTGGTAGAGTCGAACTACCATGCCGTTAACACGTACCACAACTCGACACATGCCGCCGAAGTTCTCCAGGTAAGTCTTGATCAGGTCTTTTAGACTTCTCTTCGGGAAACGGCATTCTTTAGTTTACCAGAAGCAAACGGAGGATTTGACTTATATGGGGCTGGTACTGATGGGTGGCCGCTTTGACATCTGCGCAACCCTGGAGTGTGATGAGAGAACGCTACTGCATTGGCTGACGGTGGTGGAGACAAACTACCATGCAGTTAATACGTACCACAACTCGACACATGCCGCCGATGTTCTCCAGGTAAGTCTTGATCAGGTCTTTTAGACTTCTCTGCAGGAACACGACATTCTTTAGTTTGCCAGAAGCAAACGGAGGATTTGACTTATATGGGGCTGGTACTGATGGGTGGCCGGTTTGACATCTGCGTGACCCTGGAGTGTGATGAGAGAACGCTACTGCATTGGCTGACGGTGGTGGAGACAAACTACCATGCAGTTAATACGTACCACAACTCGACTCATGCCGCCGATGTTCTCCAGGTAAATCGTCATCATCAGTTCATTTAGACGTCTCTGCAGAAACACGACCTCCTTTAGTTTGTCAGAGACAAACAGAAATTTTGACTCGCCTGGTTTTGGCACTGATGGGTGGCCGCTTTGACATCTGTGTGATCCTGGAGTGTGATGAGAGAACGCTACTGCATTGGCTGACGGTGGTGGAGACGAATTACCATGCGGTTAATACGTACCACAACTCGACTCATGCCGCCGATGTTCTCCAGGTAAGTCTTGATCAGGTCTTTTAGACTTCTCTGCAGGAACACGACATTCTTTAGTTTGCCAGAAGCAAACGGAGGATTTGACTCACATGGATCTAGCACTGATGGGAGACCGTTTTGACATCTGCGCGACCCTGGAGTGTGATGAGAGAACGCTACTGCATTGGCTGACGGTGGTGGAGATGAAATACCATGAGGTCAATACGTACCACAACTCAACTCATGCCGCCGATGTTCTCCAGGTAAGTCTTGATCAGGTCTTTTAGACTTCTCTTCAGGAAACGACATTCTTTAGTTTACCGGAAGCAAATGGAGGATTTGACTTATATGGGGCTGGTACTGATGGGTGGCCGCTTTGACATCTGCGCGACCCTGGAGTGTGATGAGAGAACGCTACTGCATTGGCTAACGGTGGTAGAGACGAACTACCATGCGGTTAATACGTACCACAACTCGACTCATGCCGCCGATGTTCTCCAGGTAAGTCTTGATCAGGTCTTTTAGACTTCTCTTCAGGAAACGACATTCTTTAGTTTACCAGAAGCAAATGGAGGATTTGACTTATATGGGGCTGGTACTGATGGGTGGCCGGTTTGACATCTGCGCGACCCTGGAGTGTGATGAGAGAACGCTACTGCATTGGCTGACGGTGGTGGAGACAAACTACCATGCGGTTAATACGTACCACAACTCGACTCATGCCGCCGATGTTCTCCAGGTAAGTCTTGATCAGGTCTTTTAGACTTCTCTGCAGGAACACGACATTCTTTAGTTTGCCAGAAGCAAACGGAGGATTTGACTCACATGGATCTAGCACTGATGGGAGACCGTTTTGACATCTGCGCGACCCTGGAGTGTGATGAGAGAACGCTACTGCATTGGCTGACGGTGGTGGAGATGAAATACCATGAGGTCAATACGTACCACAACTCAACTCATGCCGCCGATGTTCTCCAGGTAAGTCTTGATCAGGTCTTTTAGACTTCTCTTCAGGAAACGACATTCTTTAGTTTACCGGAAGCAAATGGAGGATTTGACTTATATGGGGCTGGTACTGATGGGTGGCCGCTTTGACATCTGCGCGACCCTGGAGTGTGATGAGAGAACGCTACTGCATTGGCTAACGGTGGTAGAGACGAACTACCATGCGGTTAATACGTACCACAACTCGACACATGCCGCCGATGTTCTCCAGGTAAGTCTTGATCAGGTCTTTTAGACTTCTCTTCAGGAAACGACATTCTTTAGTTTACCAGAAGCAAATGGAGGATTTGACTTATATGGGGCTGGTACTGATGGGTGGCCGGTTCGACATCTGCGCGACCCTGGAGTGTGATGAGAGAACGCTACTGCATTGGCTGACGGTGGTGGAGACGAACTATCATGCGGTCAATACATATCACAACTCGACTCATGCCGCCGATGTTCACCAGAATAATATGGTGATACTTATCACCATATTATTCTGTGGCATCACCTAAAAGAATTCAACAAATAGAATGTAATCCAACTCATCCCCAAAAAATAGCACACCGTCTTGCAACTGGAATAATCCAATACCACCTTTTGCAAGGCATAACAAAACATCATATTAAAAAAAACATCAGGTCTTTTAGTCTCTCCTGCAGAGATATGGGTCTTTCGATATCTGATGTTTGTATATTTTTTTTAAGGGCACTTATACCTACGCATCCGAAATGTAACTTGCCCTATCACTACGTCACTCCAGATCGGCTGGGGCAGAGATGAAGTTAGAAAAACCAGTTATTTGCAGCCTTATTACAGGGAATACACCTTTTACGACATCTAAGATGTGATGAAATTACTTAGGGAGATCGCATTCAATTCTGCTGAAAATACACATCCTCAGGCCTACCTATAACGATCAGAAATTAATATTCGTGGTGTTACTTTCAGGCAGTAGCATACTTCCTGGAGAAGGACCGTTTGAAGAGCGTCTTCGAGCCGCTGGAAGCAGCAGCTGCGTTGATCTCAGCAGCGGCCCACGACATCGACCACCCCGGCACATCGTCCGCCTTCCTCTGCAACTCACGCCATCCCCTGGCTGTTTTGTACAATGACGTCAGCGTGCTTGAGTCGCACCATGCAGCGCTCACCTTCAAGCTCACCCTCAGTAAGTAACAGCTAGCTGGATATTCCATATCATAACACTTCTTGGAGAAGGACCGTTTGAAGAGCGTCTTTGAGCCGCTGGAAGCAGCAGCTGCGTTGATCTCAGCAGCGGCCCACGACATCGACCACCCCGGCACGTCGTCCGCCTTCCTTTGTAACTCACGCCATCCCCTGGCTGTGTTGTACAATGACGTCAGCGTGCTTGAGTCGCACCATGCAGCGCTCACCTTGAAGCTCACCCTCAGTAAGTAACAGCTAGCTGAATATTCCATATCTTAATACTTCTTAGAGAAGGACGTTTGAAGAGCGTCTTCGAGCCGCTGGAAGCAGCAGCTGCGTTGATCTCAGCAGCGGCCCACGACATCGACCACCCTGGCACGTCGTCCGCCTTCCTCTGCAACTCACGCCATCCCCTGGCTGTGTTGTACAATGACGTCAGCGTGCTTGAGTCGCACCATGCAGCGCTCACCTTCAAGCTCACCCTCAGTAAGTAACAGCTAGCTGAATATTCCATATCATAACACACTTACGGCTCGGAAACGAGGCCTCTCACTATAGGCCTTATACAGAAGCTCAAAGTTGCACAGCGTGCTATGGAGAGGGCTATGCTTGGTGTTTCTTTGTGAGATCGAATCAGAAATGAGGAAATCCGTAAACGAACTAAAGTCGCTGACATAGCCCGACGGATTAGCAAGCTGAAGTGGCAATGGGCAGGGCATACAGTACGCAGAACTGACGACCGATGGGGCAGCAAGGTTCTGGAATGGAGGCCGCGTACCGGAAAACGCAGCGTGGGACGTCCACCTACAAGGTGGACCGACGACATCGTAAAGGTAGCAGGGAAGCGCTGGATGCAGGCCGCTACCAATCGATCAACGTGGAAAGCATTAGGGGAGGCCTATGTTCAGCAGTGGACGTCCTATGGCTGAAATGATGATGAACACTTCTTGAAGAAGGACCGTTTGAAGAGCGTCTTCGAGCCGCTGGAAGCAGCAGCTGCGTTGATCTCAGCAGCGGCCCACGACATCGACCACCCCGGCACATCATCCGCCTTCCTCTGCAACTCACGCCATCCGCTTGCCGTATTGTACAATGACGTCAGCGTGCTTGAGTCGCACCACGCAGCACTCACCTTTAAGCTCACCCTCAGTAAGTAACAGCTAGTTAGATCTTCCATCTCCTGACAGTCTGTCCTAACTGGATCTTTGATTTTTTCATGACACCAAACTATTCTAGTGATATCTGCCCCATTGCTAGATTATCGTAAAACAAACATTTGAATATCAAAATTAATCTTGTAGAAAGCAGTGGACCGTGATGTCACATAACACACGTCCTTGTCTAGCACTAACTAGTATTTAGTGTAACACTGCTTGTGATTGCAACATGCGTAGTGATGTCACAAAATTAAAAATATCTCTAGATTTAGATTTTGTCCAATGACCCCAAGCTACCCATCCTTATCGCTCGCGCGTAACTATGTTGCTGTCGCGCTCGCACACTCACCGCGGGCGCCCGTCGCACAGTCGCGACAGCCATATAATTACGCGCGAGCGATAAGGATGGGTAGCTTGGGGTCATTGGACAAAATTCTACGTGCTCACAGACCGGGCTTGAGTGTTCTTTGAAAAAGAAAAGCACTGAACGATATGATACTGCCACATAAATAAAATTATTGTTTGTTTCCTTCCAGACGACGACCGCGTGAACATATTCAAGAATCTCGACCGCGACACGTACAAGACGATGCGGCACAACGTCATCGACATGATCCTGGCAACAGAAATGACCAAGCACTACGAGCACCTCGCCAAGTTCGTCAACGTGTTCTACGCCAAGTCCAGCGGCAGCAAGGAGGATATGCACACGGACGTGAGTAACAATAAAAACATAGTTGAATTTTAAACATTTTATAGTGTAATTGAAAACCTCCATCTTTTTTAAGACAATAAAAAAATCAAAGCATACCTATCTAACATGTCAATCCTGACCACAGAGATGACCAAGCAATGATGCCATGGCATACTCAGTAAGGCCCGTTTAATATTTTTTTTTAATTATCTCCTCTCGATTTTGTGATAAGTTGTAGGTAGGTTTGAGATTTGATTTTTGTTGTCTTTATGCCGTTGTGATGTGGTCTAGAAAATGATAAATGTTCTTGCTTCTTTTTTTATTTCTTTCCTTAGAAACTAAGTAGATTAATTGTTCAGAATAAAAATTGTATTTTATTTGTTCCAGGAACCCCTGTCATTAGATACCACGGCTCTTTCATTACCTGAGAACGTGATTCTGGTGAAGAGGATGATGATCAAGTGTGCCGACGTGTCCAACGCTTCCAGGCCACAGAAGTTCGCATTTGAGTGGGCAAGGAGGTGAGTAATACAGATGCGAAATATTGTTTGGTCCTTCGAGCCGGATATTTTATTTGATCTTGATGAAAACATAAATTGCTAAACGTAAAGGAATCTAACACTTGTTACATTATAAAACCGTTCAAAACTAAAACTCTTCACGCGCGAGATGAATGCAATGCGCACGGAGCAAAATGCTTCAAACCTTCAAAAACTGCTCACAATCAATGCTACATATATCTGTAGAAATGGGGTAATCATGGTAGCATGATATCCCTCGTCATTCATCGCTGAGGATTACTTCTTACTCGTCACAATCAATTCAATCTTTATCATTTAAGCCCTTGTCATTCCTCTAGTTCGTTCGTTCGTTCGTTTCAGCCAAATGACGTCCACTGCTGGACAAAGGCCTCCTCCAAGGTTTTCCACAATGCACGGTCCTGCGCTGCCAGCATCCAGGCTCTTCCTGCGACCTTTACCAGATCGTCGGTCCACCTAGTAGGAGGCCTGCCCACGCTTCCTCTAGTATCGCCGAGGAATACTGTCCGCTCCACAGAATTAATCTTTTTCATGTTTACTCCACCTCCAGGATCGCTAAGGAACTCACAATCATTTGATTTACGATCTCTACCATTTTTACCACTCTTCATCCTCCAGGATCGCCGAAGAATACTTCCTGCAGACGGACGAGGAGAAGGCCAAGGACCTGCCCGTGGTGATGCCGATGTTCGACCGCGCCACCTGCTCCATACCCCGTTCGCAGATCGGGTTCATCGACTACATCATCATTGATATGATGGAGGCCTGGGCTGGTGAGATGGTTGACATATTTTATTACTTTCTGAGGCTGAGTTTATATGGACTCGAGTCGACGCGCGCATTTGAACATAACCTAAATGTTTTTTAAACTTATGGCACTTCACTGATTCTTTCCTTACTACTTAGTCCAGTCAATAAAGCATTATAGATGGAAAACTGTAGAACACAATTTCTGACTTCAGGACTTTATTTAGACTAGTTAGGAGGTGAACATAGCAAAAGTCCCCGCCCTTAGCTCTTGAGCCGACGAGGAGAGGGGGGTTTAAAGGTGCCACTTTTCGGTTTTTCGCTTAATCCTCGGAAACTATGCGTCCTAGTGACATGACTACTTTGAACCAAAAAAAGCATATTCAATTTGCTACAGATGAGATTGACAAGTTTTTCTATAAATTGTATAGTTTTCGCGGCATCTGCTCTAGAAGGTCTGTAATATTGGAAATTTTATTTTTGTCTTACATGTTCCCATCAGAATAAAATCTTTTTGAACGTCAATACCTAAATAACCGTTTGAGGTATATTTATGAAATTTGAAGCTGATGTATATCTTGCAAGTCTCAATACATGAGCCAAATTTGAAGTGTTAATGCACAGTAGTTTTTGAATGATGAGGAGTCAAAAGTGGCTCTAATTGGTTCGTCTAAATATACGCACGGTGCAGTCCCCTCCATGGAACTAGGCTTAACATGCTTCCGCATGTCTATAGTGTTTGCTCAATGTTGATTTAGTCGATTTTCTCCTGAAAGGAACATGTAAGACAACAATAAAATTTCCAATTTTACAGACCTTCTAGAGCAGATGCCGCAAAAACTATACAAGATATAGAAAAACTTGACGGTCTCACCTGTAGCAAATTGAATAAGCTTTTTTTAGTTCATAGTAGTCATGTCACTAGGACGCATAGTTTCCGAGGATTAAGCGAAAAACCGAAAAGTGGTACCTTTAAACCCCCCTCTCCCCGCCGGCTCAAGGGCTAAGGGCGGGGACTTTTGCTATGTTCACCTCCTAACTAGGCTAAATAAAGTCCCGAGGTCAGAAATTGTGTTCCAAGGATTTCTCTCTACACCGTCGTTAAGGCATTCATTGACTGGACTAACTCTTTTTTGATGACGATTAGTTAATAAAGAACGTACGACCATTTTTGACTGAACTTGGTGTTATGTTAAAATACTATTTACACCAAAACAGATACAAGGTAGCCCAGTTTGTTTCAAACGTTTGTCACTTAAAAAAAACGTTTTTGGTACCAAAGACGAATGAATGATGAATTGATCAATATCGGTATTTTATTTGTTGGGTTTTAATCCACGTACATGAGTAGATCCATTGTAGTAGGTAGGTACTGGAATCTCATAGTAGTTACTGAAGCCAGAGACGTGATCGGTATCAATAACGAAATCGTATCTTATCAAACAATAGTTACTACGATATTTGCATCTGCTGCAGCAAAATTACATGGGTTCAAGACGCACTATTTTTTTCCAGTTCTAAACTCATCATTCTTTATTCCAGCGTTCATCGACATGCCGGAGCTGGTGAACCACGCGCGCGGCAACCACCAGCGCTGGCGCGAGTTGGATGAAGCCGGCGTCACCACCATCGCCGACGTACTGCGGGCCCAGAGGCAGCATGCACTGCCTGCACCCACCACCGCACAACCTACGGCCGAGGAGTAAGGAGGTACCAGATATGGGCAGAGACTGAAGATGTCACCACCACCGCTAACGTGGCAAGTTCTACTACTATCGCTGAAAGATATCACCACCTCCGCTCACATATTTTATAGGTCTGCTGACCAAAGCCTCAGTCCATAGCTGTGGAGTAAGGATGTACCAGATATGGGCAGAGAGATGCAACCACCTGCGCTGGCGCGAGCTGGACGAGGCCGGCGTCACCACCATCGCCGACGTACTGCGGGCCCAGAGGCAGCACGCACTGCCCGCGCCTACCACCGCACAACCTACGGCCGAGGAGTAGTGTAATGTAACCAGATATCCAGATATGGGCAGAGAGATGTCACCATCACCTTTGCTATCATAAATAAGCCTACTGTCAGTTCAGCTTCAGAGTATATACGAAGCTATGCCCATATGGGCAAGATGGCAGATGTCACCATCATCGCTGATGTACTGCGGGCTCAAAGACAGCACGGACTACCCGCGCCCACCACCGCGCAGCCCACTGCTAAAGAGTTGCTAAGGAGTTATCAGATATGGGCAGAGAGATATCACCACCACCTTTGCTATCATAAACAAGCCTACTACTAGTTCAGCTTCAGAGTATATGGGCAAGATGACAGATGTCACCACCATCGCCGATGTACTGCGGGCTCAAAGGCAGCCTACCACCGCGCAACCCACTGCCGAGGAGTAATGTACCAGATATAGGCAAGCCGGGAGTTGTCATCCACCACCTTTTGCTGCTATGTCTTAATACCCGCGAAAAAACCAGCTGCCATAGCTCAGACATGGGCAAGCCGGGAAATATCACCACCTTCGTGTCTAAGTTCCTCGAAACAGGCCTGCTACCATAGCCCACTCCATGGCTGAGAAGTAATGTGCCGAGAGATGTCACCACATTTGCGTCTAATGACCTGCTACCGTAGCCTAGAGTAAGGTTCTATCAGATGTGGGGAAACCGGTAGATGTTACTTCCCTGCCTGCTATCATAGACCATGACTGAGGAGTAATGTACCGGATATGGACAAAGAGATGAGGGCACCACCTTCACTTCTAACGATACCATCATCGCTCACGTTCCTTAGTCCCGCGAAACAGGCCTACTGCTTATAAGCCACTCCTTAACTGAGGAATAAGCTTGCACGAAATATGGGCAAAGAGATATCTCCACCTTCTTTCACGTGACTGAAGTTCTCTACACTGAAGGTTCCGGTAAATGAAGATACGGAATCAATGTGTTCAACAAATTCTCTGAAAAAATTTGCTGACGTCTGGTGGCGACATTTTGGACATCTTCCACATTGCCCATTACTGAGGAACTGTAGTTAACGAAAAGTTAACTAGGCTAATAAGTATCAGAAATACTGGTCGTTGTATTATACTGCGTTGTAGGACATTAGCAATTCAGATTTACATCTTTGGATTCCTGGAATCACAAGGCATTCTTTGCTTATATTTTTCAGGGAAAATCTGAATTGCCATATGAAACCGCCTTTATGTCAGGCGATCCAAAATTTACGGGTGTTGATGTGATTTGTTCAGTAGGAATCCATCTTGCGAGAGTCTAGTGCCTGTCTCAACTGTGTCGAAACGAGGGAACATATTAGCTGGAGGACGACACCTTCGGCTTTGTTTGCTGCGCCATAGAATCCAAAATCAGTTAATAACGTCACAGATTTTACTGTAATCAACTTGTTTCTCTTTAAACTTTTGTGTGTTTAGAAAGGTTACACTAAAAAGTAGTAATCTTTAAATTGAGTTACGTTTGGCCAAGGTGCTTGTGCACCCTTATCCTTTGGTAAGACCTGGAGGACTACTTCGAAATGCTGTTTACGTGGTTTCGGGTAGACCCTTATCATCTCGCTGTGCGTGAGAGGGATGGCAACATTCGAAACTTCGGATAACGTTTTTCGGAGTAACCCCGCTAATTCTACCACACTGGCCACTTCAGAGACCGGCAGAAGAGCATAGCGAGGGTGTCGACAATCTCCAAGTTGCATTTGGATGTCAACGTTAAAAGTCTGATACGGATCATTGGCACAGATGCCTAACGGATGTGTCCGAAAATACGCTTATTTTATACTTATATCCGTGTTAGTGTAGATATCATTGAAATTGTAATTGTTGATATCTACTTTTTTACGTAGTGGTATTTTAAGAGTATATCGATCAAATGTTTACTGTATCGGAAACTTAGATTTTTATCAACTGATCGTAGACAATTTATTGGCGTATTCCTCAATCTTTTGATGACGTATTATAGTTGCCATTTACACGGGTAGGTATTTTAGTTTGTGTAGGTACGTTTCTAATGTATTTACATTTTAATCCGTGATAAAAGTGCCATAATGAAAGATTGGCAAAGTATTCATCAGTCACAAAACATACAGACACCATTTTATCCTGCATGCCATGACAGTGTTCAGTCACAAATATTGAAAAGAACAATGTTGAAGAAATGATTAAATGACCAAGGGCGAATACAGGCGGTATGCTCTTCCTCAGAATTTTAGTACGACAATTTGACGTCACAAGACTAAAATTCTGAGAATATAGACATACCATGTTGTGTCCAACATTTTAGCCACATTTTAGCAGCCTCCATAACAGAGATAAGTACATTACAGCCCAAGCAGAAATATTTTGCCACAGATAAATGTGTCGTTGCCGGTAACATTCCCCTGGTCGGATATATTCCCGGCAGCATTCCCCAATGTTCCCCTGAATGGGAATATTCCGAGAATGCTACTTATTAGAAATTCCCGAAAACGGCGCATATCTAGATAAATGTATTTCAAGTTATTTTCCTATGTAACTATAACCCAAAGAATAAAACTAAAGTTGATTCTCTGGACAATATCCTTTTAATATGCGACATGATAGATCTTTTGATTAAATGTGTGAACTAGATAGGTAGATGATATAAAGTTATTAGTATCGTAAGCTGCTTCACACCGTGGCAGGATACACTGTCATTCTTTGCTTTTCCTATACCTTAGTGATTTCTTAACAATTTATAATGTTGTGTGGGATGCAATTTTAAACAAGTATTATGAGTGACTCGTGCCTATGCACAATTTTTAATTGTTTACTATCAAACTAAATATTTCTGCCAAAATATTTCGATTATAAAATTTTTAACATTGGTCCATTTATACACTTGAGCTTTCAAAGAATTCCTATTTTTTATACTAAACTTTTTGTAGTGTGCCGATTCTTTCGACCTCGGTATTCATATCAAAATTCAAAAAGGTTTTGATATCATTTCTAACTCTTTAATGATTTAATTCTTAACATTTTATTTTCATTCCTGATGAAAACGTGGTTTACACATTTTATACTTAATAACATATTAATGAATGTTAAAGTTATTTATTATGGGTAAATAATATATTAAATCACCTGAATATTTCTTAAAGTAATTTATTATATTCGAATAAGGTCTAACGTATTTGTAACGTAGGTTATTAATATTAAAATATATTCGTCTTTATGACGCTGGTAATGTAAGCCTTTACTGTGTAGCTATTATTAACTTTGGGTGTCAGATTACGCTTGCTCGTGCTCAATGTCAATATTATAACGGTCTAAAATTAATTATACTTCAATAATCGCAGACTTTCACATGTATAACAATTAATATATTAGTAGTGGGAAATATTACTACTTCAATGTTGTATTGATTGTAGTTTACAGTGTTCAATCTCATATTTGTAACAGTATGAATTCTACCAAAACGTAATTTTACTACTAACAATGTATCTTTATAAGTTAAATTAATATTATTTTGATAGTTAGCTCAATTGATTTAGGTTAAATTAAAATTAATTGATGTTGGTTTTATAATTAATCTTTCTCGAAATTCGTAAGGTGTATTACAATAGAGGATAATTAGAGCAGTATTCTGGATGTTGCATGAGTATGGGAACATCTTGACCTAACCAACTGAATGTTTATTTATAGTATTGTTTAAGGCAGTCGTGTTTGAAGTGTTATATAAGGTTACGGGGGCTGGTCCCCACTTAACTACGGAGAAGAAATTACATTGTTGTGAATTTTATATGCGTGGTGATGCGTTGATGTACCAATGTTACACTTAAAATTATTATCTTCCAGAAGTAATTTGTGCTTGATTCATCGCTTTAAATTTTTAACAATATTGTTGGTGATACGTATCGCTTCTTCTTCATGTTTGTAAAAGACAAATATTTTCTGAATGCAATCGTTTATAGCATCGAGAATGCAAATTTGAAGCGATGAATAACTACTTCCGAGTATCTTAGATAAATTGGAACGAAAGTTGTTGCTTAAGTTTATTGTTTTCATTAATAATGACGTTTGATCTGATAACAGTGTTAATGATTTACGAACGGTTATTATTCACATGTTTTATTTAGTGATGTTTTAAACATAAGCAACAATTGATCGTCAATTTTTAAATGAATGTCTATGTTCAGAGTACATTAATTGAATTGAATGAAATTGTTAAGTGTTGTAAATAAAGAAACAATAAAATGTATACTGTCTTTTGTTTACCTTAAACTAAAATAAAAACATTTAAATTCATCATAAAACATTTTATTATAAACAATAATTAAAAAAACATATTTTACATTACATAACTTACAATTCCAACATTGCGTTACTATAAATGCAATTTGTAATATTTATATTTCTCTGTTACATTTTGAGATATACCATTTAATTTGAGAGCTGTACAATATTTTACATATTTTATACAGTTTGTAGTAAACGAACATGTTATTTATATTAATATATTAGATCAGTATAGTTGGAATGGACATAGAATATGCATCGCATAAATATTAAGATTAAAGTAACAAAAATATGAGGATACTGAATACATAATACAGTACTGTTTAAGTACTCATTATGACCAAATAACCACCTAAACTTATTGTGATAGGATAACATTAAATCATAGTTACTAAATGATTAAATTTGTCACAAAAGGAATATGGAAGTCTGAAGACAAATCTTGGATCAATACAGCCGAAAAATAATTTAAAAGCCTACTAAAGCTAACGATATTTGAACATGAACAAAATGGAAAAAGCCCTACCGATAACATCTTGTATGTTTAAATAAAATCAAAAAGACATAATATAGCATTACAAAATAAAAGTGTAGGTACTAAGTTACGAAAAATTATTTTAAAATTAATATAAAATAGGTCACACGTCTAAAATATGACATGATATTAGGAGACGTTGTTTTACAGAATGAAAATGAGCCATTTTTAAAATAATCGTCGTTTTTATGAGTTTGTTTAAGAAATTATTTATGTAGACAGTCCTCTAGGGTCAAGATGACACTTCTAACCTTTAACCTAACTCTTACCACCCCCCAAAATGTTTACCCTTAAGACCAAGTCAAAAAATGTTTTCGCTCCCATCTTTTAAACCGACCTTGTTTCAGTTTTTTTTTTTCATAATCTCCTAATTCGTGTTACTCATAGACAAGACAATCTCAGCTATACTATGTTCAGTGCCGCCGAGAATGTATAGAAATTGTAGGGAAACAAAAGAAATCATAGATCTAAATAAGTGCTTACATTACAAACAGTAAACATAACGACATTTTAGCTATAAACACTCGACAGCTAACTACAATCCTGAAATATACAAAGTGTGACATTTTCCATACTCGCAGATCATTGTCAAACTAAAAAGAAACACCGTAGCAAGACATAAAACGATGCATGTTAATACACGATAGATACTACACTTTAGAAAGACATATCACTTTATATACTCCATAAATTACAATTATTTTGTTGCCACAAATGTCGTTTATCTATACTACATTTACATACCTACTCATATTTTCTGTACAATTCAGAAAAATTCAACAATAGCCCCAATAAAATATTTATAATACATTTCTTGAAAACTGGCATAGGTACTTTATAAAGCTATATTTCAAAACTGTACAATTTTGACTCATTTAGCCATATCAACACAGAATAACGTACTTTAATAGTATTTTATTTAAACAAATACACCAGTTTTCAATAAATTCTACGAAATCTGTAATAACATGAGACCACAAAACATCGTAACGTTTAAGGCAAAATGAAATACCTACCAGTCGATGACAAACTTGATGGGGCTACTTCCTACGACTTTCATAATTTTGAATCATCTATTTCTCTCGCTCGTAAAGCTAGTACGAGTGACAGAGACAGATAGACACAAAATACGAAACTACGTTATGAAATAGCCCGGTACCGCCGGGGAATGAGATCCCTAAGATACTTTTTAAAATTGTAACACAGGAAAACTGTCCAAAAATAGGTACTTATGGCACCTACAATCAACTGACCTGCTTTTTGTGAGCTGTGGATACTAATTTCATTATTTATTTCAATCATTACTACACATGAAGACCAGTACAAAAGGCGGAGTATATGACACAAATCATTACCATTAGTTTTGTGTAGAAAGTTGTCTTGTTAGCATCTAAGGCAAAATGAAACACTCACAGTCTACGACTTTTTGACAACATCTGGTATCACACACCAAACGTCTCGTGACATTATTTCAACATCATAAAATACATATATAGTCCCACGATCCCGAAACGTCAAGTGGCAAAAATAAACCCAGTATTGATATTAGCGGCATTAGCGCCCTCCGATAACATCCGATTTTTGCGGAATCGGAACCAGCGATCCGGTATTGACAGTGGCGCCCCCTGTCAATGTCACGGGTGGGACACCTATATCTAAAAGTTCCAACAGCTCACAAAAACGTCAGTAGATTGTCGGTTGTTTTCAAGTGTTCCAAATATTACCAGTTAATATTCAGTAGTTTACCAGTCTGGCGCGGGGCCCGGGCGGTCGCTACAAAGCTAGCGGCTTCCCGCGGCACTGCTCGGACACGTAACTCGTGAAGCGTTTGAGGAACTTGGGATACTCCCGTTTGTAGACTGCGCGGAGGACGCCGGCGGGCGCCCAGCCTCCTGGGTTTACTGGAATAAAGCATTTATTATTGCACTATGTGGAAATACACAGATCGAGACAATGTGGGGACTATGGCATCAGCTAACAAGCCGTAGCTTGTTTGTCTTGGCGTTTCGCATCAACAATAGGCTGGTTTCCTAAAAAAATTTTTTAGTCCGTCAATTTTAGTATACAAAAATATTGGACACGTATATTTTTAATTGTCAATCAAACAAATAATTACAAAGTTATAGTGCGTTGAAGTTCCACGCGGCGTCACAAAGTGCTGCACTTTTACGCACTCACTGACGTCACGGGCCTTGTCTTTAGAACTTTGACACGCTTTATCTCTTTACATTTTCATTAGTTTTAAAAAGCGAAAAATACGTGTCGAGTAGTTTTTGATAAACTGAAACTCTTGCTTTTTTACCCAGGAAACATCCCTATTGTCAGAAAGTCGTTGGGCCTGAAAGAGCCTAGAGTCTAACTACCTGTATTTATGAATTTTTTGACGTTCATAATAAATGTCAAATCTTGAGCGACTAGCGCTCACCAGTTGATGCCAATACTGCGCGCTAATGCTCTTTTTCCAAAGAAAATTATTTATTTTTCCGTGAATATGTTTAGCGTGGAAATCTTTTGGGGAGCTTTTGTTTATTAATTGACGGCACTAGGTTGAAAGGAATCGTTTTTCTCTGGCTGAAGAAGGTACTGCATACTGTTGGAGACTAGTGCCCGTTTTCACCATCAATCCCTAATTTTTAAGTGACTCCTATGAAAACAAAATTCCTGTTATATGTTACCATAGGGGTCACTTAAATTATAGGGATTAATGGTGAGAACGGGCGTAGGATGCTTAAACTCGCATTTAATTTCCGTGGCCACATACCTGTACTGCAGTAGGCGATGCTTGTGGTGATATTCTCGCGCGAGGGCGCCTCGCCGGCCGGCCACGAGCTGCGGCACGCCAGGCACACCGTCACGAACAGCCGAATGCACGCGCCAGAGTTCGCCTGCGGAACGAATGTTACGTTAATAAAGCACGTGACAATCACACAAATTAAGGAGATTATATTAATGACACCAATGGGTTCAACAAGGAAATTTTTCACTGATATGTCGTTAATGAAGATTCAGCAGTACCGTGCTCAGCGTAATGTTCATACACACCGAGTACTCGGCTGTAAGCACTGTCTCGCCCGTTTGCTCGGTACGTGTGATCAAGGCATTAGTTTCGCTTATCGCTCGAATGTCTGGTGGACAAGGCGCTAGGTGGTCTCTGTAGCGACCACGCACTCACCGGGTACTCGGCGTTGGTGGTGGAGTGGTTGGTGACGGCGTAGGTGGTCTCCTGTTGTAACCATGTCACTCACCGAGTACTTGACGTTGGTGGTGGAGTAATTACTGACGGCATCGGTGGTTTCTTGTGGTAACCATGTCACTCAACGAGTACTAGACGTTGGTGGTCACCTGTGATAACTCGTTAGGGACTCACCGGGTACTCGGCGTTGGTGGTGGAGTAATTACTGACCGCGTCGGTGGTTTCCTATGGTAACCATGTCACTCAACGAGTACTCAACGTTGGTGATCTCCTGTGATAACTCGTTAGGGACTCACCGGGTACTCGGCGTTGGTGGTGGAGTAATTACTGACCGCATCGGTGATCTCCTGTGGTTTCCACGTCACTCAACGAGTACTCGACGTTGGTGGTCACCAATGATAACTCGTTAGGGACTCACCGGGTACTCAGCGTTGGTGGTGGAGTAATTACTGACTGCGTCGGTGGTCTCCTGTGGTTACCACGTCACTCAACGGGTACTCAACGTTGGTGGTCTCCTGTGGTAACCACGTCACTCGGAAACTCACCGGGTACTCGGCGTCAGTGGTGGAGTAATTACTGACCGCATCGGTGGTCTCCTGCACGTGGTTACCACGTCACTCAACGGGTACTCAACGTTGGTGGTCTCCTATGGTAACCACGTCACTTTTTGGAAACTCACCGGGTACTCGGCGTTGGTGGTGGAGTGGTTGGTGACGGCGTAGGTGGCGCGGTCGGCGGCGCGCACGTGCGACCAGAACAGCGCGTCCCGCTGCGACGCGGGCCAGATGCGCTTGAACGTCTGGTGGAACACCAGCGCGTCTGATGACATCTCCTCGACGATCGTCATTGTTTCCAGTGTTGCTGTAGAGAGAAAAGCAGAGACTTTTTATTTGCACTTCGAAAAATGTAGTCTTGTTCCTGCACTTCGAAATTAAACCATTCAAAAGTGTAACCTTGATCCTTTTCATGTATTATTGAGAAGGAAACACTTGAACTGATACTAGTTTTCGACGCTAATAAACCAATAAATGGTATGGGAAATAGGCCTGAGAAGCACAGACGATGCCACATGAAGGCACATGGCATCTTACGTGCTTATAATGAGTGCTATTTTGCAACAAATTGTATTCTCACTTATGTGGTCAAGAATCCAAGACACAACGATTCTCCCTCCAATCTATAATGATAAAAGTCTACTCACTCTCCCACTCGTATCTGTAGCGCGGGTTGAAGAAGTAATGGCACATCTCGCGGGCGGACACGCCGCGGACTTTGTGCATCGCCTTCAGGGGATCCATCACCATGCCATCCACTTCCATCTCCCTGCAAACAGAAGAGAATATTATGTCATCATCGTAATTTTAGGTATTGGCAATCAATTCACTGCTGGTTATTAGTGGCATATTGACATTATGACATAGGCCTAACCCTACGCCAAAAAGCACGATCTCTCTTTTTTCATCCAATCAAGTTTCTTGATGTCGGTCTACCGAGTAACGTTACCGTTACCGTAAAACCGTTTACCGTTTATTACCGTTTAAAATACCGTTCTACGCTACGTCTGCCAAGACCATTGATATGGCTCTCTCTCTCTCATCGCTCTCTCTAGCTTGGTACTCGGCTTAGGTGGTCTCCTGTGGTAACCACGTCACTCATTCGAGAACTAAAACTCCAACCATAGAGAAGACCATAGTTGTGCTATGGAACTATTGGTAAATCGTATCAGTTAAATTACACAACTACATCAATAAATTTGAAAATTATAAATATATTATATACAGATGTAGGGTAGGTAAACTTAACATTGATGAAACAAACGCTGGCTGTAACAGCGTATTACACTTGAAAATTTCGACGGGTTCATCCAGTGTCTAAGTAGCTCAGTTGGAAGAGCAGTCGCCCGGCAAGCGGAAGGTCGTGGGTTCAATTCCCGCCTTAGGCAGTTCGATTTTTTCAAGTTATTTATAATTTTCAAATTAGTTTGAGATGCGACTCTAAACGCTAAAAATTTAATAACTATGTAAAAGAGCTGTTTCATCTTAACTGACAGTTAAATATTTGCAACAATATTTCTGTTAGATGTAGGGTAGGTAAACTTAACATTGATGAAACAAACGCTGGCTGTAACAGCGTATTACACTTGAAAATTTCGACGGGTTCATCCAGTGTCTAAGTAGCTCAGTTGGAAGAGCAGTCGCCCGGCAAGCGGAAGGTCGTGGGTTCAATTCCCGCCTTAGGCAGTTCGATTTTTTCAAGTTATTTATAATTTTCAAATTAGTTTGAGATGCGACTCTAAACGCTAAAAATTTAATAACTACATCAATAAAATTGATCAGGAAAAAAATAATGTGTACAAAGACGCAGGTGGCATGGTATAAGAAAATGAATGACATAAAAATTGGCAAAATAGCATACCTTCTGTACATCCTCATATCTCCCTCTTCGGCGAACAACTGCCAGCCTATCTCACCGCCAACGCCTTCGAAGGCGGCCTGGATTTGCTCTGTTGATATCCTGTCGATCTGGAACAAATAATATTTTATTTAGTTAAGCTACATAGCTATATTCAACCGAGGTAAAATCCAACTCGGCTGGGCAGCATTCGGGAAACTACGCAACATCTTTTCGTCCAAAATACCTCAGTGCCTAAAGACGAAAGTCTTCAATCAGTGTGTGTTGCCAGCGATGATATACGGCTCGGAAACGTGGCCTCTCAACGTGCTATGGAGAGGGCTATGTTCGGAGTTTCTCTACGAGATCGAATCAGAAATGAGGAGATCCGTAAACGAACCAAAGTCGCTGACATAGCCCAACGGATTAGTAAGCTGAAGTGGCAAAGGGCAGGGCATATAGTACGCAGAACTGACTGCCGATGGGGCAGCAAGGTTCTGGAGTGGAGGCCACGTACCGGAAAGCGCAGCGTAGGACGTCCACCCACAAGATGGACCGACGACCTCATAAAGGTAGCGGGAAGGCGCTGGATGCAGGCCGCCACCACCATTGTGGAAATCATTGGGGGAGGATGTTCTATGTTCAGCAGTGGACGTCCTATGGCTGAAATCTTGGCTCGGTTTACTTGAGGACCGGGTTGTATTATAGAGGGAGCGTGTCTTACCTCAGGCCATAAGGGGTGCACTGTGAGCCGGTTGTCGATGGCCGGCGGCGGCAGCTCGACCTCGTCTCTGGTGTGCACGCTAGGGGGCACCACTTGCACCGCTCCTCTATCTTGTCGGAGCCTGTTCATTGACTCACCTCAGGCCATAAGGGGTGCACTGTGAGCCTGTTGTCGATGGCCGGCGGCGGCAGCTCGACCTCGTCTCTGGTGTGCACGCTAGGGGGCACCACTTGCACCGCTCCTCCATCTTGTCGGAGCCTGTTCATTAACTCACCTCAGGCCATAAGGGGTGCACTGTGAGCCTGTTGTCGATGGCCGGCGGCGGCAGCTCGACCTCGTCTCTGGTGTGCACGCTAGGGGGCACCACTTGCACCGCTCCTCCATCTTGTCGGAGCCTGTTCATTAACTCACCTCAGGCCATAAGGGGTGCACTGTGAGCCTGTTGTCGATGGCCGGCGGCGGCAGCTCGACCTCGTCTCTGGTGTGCACGCTAGGGGGCACCACTTGCACCGCTCCTCCATCTTGTCGGAGCCTGTTCATTAACTCACCTCAGGCCATAAGGGGTGCACTGTGAGCCTGTTGTCGATGGCCGGCGGCGGCAGCTCGACCTCGTCTCTGGTGTGCACGCTAGGGGGCACCACTTGCACCGCTCCTCCATCTTGTCGGAGCCTGTTCATTAACTCACCTCAGGCCATAAGGGGTGCACTGTGAGCCTGTTGTCGATGGCCGGCGGCGGCAGCTCGACCTCGTCTCTGGTGTGCACGCTAGGGGGCGCCACTTGCACCGCTCCTCCATCTTGTCGGAGCCTGTTCATTGACTCACCTCAGGCCATAAGGGGTGCACTGTGAGCCTGTTGTCGATGGCCGGCGGCGGCAGCTCGACCTCGTCTCTGGTGTGCACGCTAGGGGGCGCCACTCGCGCGCACCGCTCCTCCTCCATCTTGTCGAAGCCGGTCTCGACAGCATCGTAGAACTCGTCGTCCGGTAATGTGGAGTGGGGCCCTTCCTGGTGGCAACAAAAAAAAACAATTAAAATAATGAAAAAATACGTCTTACTTTAACCGGTAAAGCATTTGATAAACGCACTCACACGACAAGTTACGAAATATTTAAGACACATTATTTATTTTGCTAAAATACAAAAAGTTGCCATAGTTACCATGTCATTTGTACCGATTATACTGAAATATAGTTCCAAAATACTGAACTGTCCTATCGATGACATTGACAGCGGGGCGCCACCGTCAATACCGAATCGCTGGTTCCGATTTTTGCCATGTTGGAAACCATAAAGTTGAACGATGGTAGCGCCCCCCTGTCATTGAGTTTGGCGAGACAGTTCAGCGTGGGTCATCTATAACAGTGATTTAGCACCTAGCAAAAAGGTACACATAAGTACACCTGAAAAATTAATCCTTTATCTTTATCACCATCTAAATCTAATCGTGCTAATTAAAGCAACCCAGATGTTTCAAGACAACGAAAATTCCTCACAATTTATTGTGTACACAAAGTATGGTACTCGTACCAAAGAAATGTTGTACCTACCTATCACTTGTATCGAGTAGGTACCTCACGTAGTTGATTATTCCGCGCGGCGCTAACCTACATACGGTTAAGGACATGTAGTGAAGAAATAAATTTGTCGATTGCGTGGACATTATCACTGAGTGCATAATAATTATGGAACCCTTGATCCATTCAAGGTTGCATTCTCCGCATGACTCTTATATTTTATTCCAAGACTAGACAAGAAAAGGAGGTAAAAGTATTATTTGATCACCTACTACTATGCTGAAACCTAAAACTTAGCTAATTCAAATTCAAATTGTTAAGATAAGTTAGTTTTATAATAGCACTGTTAAGAATTTTAGGAATCCTCTTTATTATTTTATTTTATTCTTAATAAAATTTAGCTTCCAATAAAATTCATAAAACTCCTTTATTCTCAACTTATCAACAGCACTTTCACACGTCCCATCATACGTAAGTACGTAAACTACCCTACAACAAACGACCCATTTATTGTGTAGGCAGAACGGAATGGTGGCATGACCTCAATTAATGTCACCAAAACCTTTGCAAAAACCGATGTGATATTTACCTAAAATCTAGAGCACACTAGTAAGGATATAATATGTATATTTTAGAAAGTTATTGATGGTAAGACTTGTTTAGATGTAATTAGGACAGTAATGTTTATTAACGCCCGTATTCACAAACGATGCTTGCTAAGTGAAGCAGCAAATCGAACGCACAACGTTGAATAGAGCTCAGTGATTGGTTCGTGACCCTGTGCGACCACGCGCACTGTGAGACCTCATAGTAATGTTTGTGAATACGGGCGTTACTCTACATCTTATGTAAAGAAAGGAAAACCCATCTCGTATATTTTAATCTTGAAACTGTTTGTAATACTTAGTTACTGTGAAGCAGTTATAAAGTAGGTAAATATTTAAAGTGTTATTAATTACTTCAATATCATATTGTTGGTGAGATTTGAATGTGAAATCAAGTCACAGATTTATTTATTTTATTTTATCTTTAATTTGTGATAGGTATTTTAGTTTTCAGAGTGTGTTTTTTTATTTTATTTGTATCATGCGAAAAACATTTTGTATCTATAATACACTATCTGAAAGGTAAACCATAAGTAAATGACAACAGGTGCATTTTATTGTTTTTAATATCAATTTATTGTCACGAAATGGTATTAAACATGCATTACAACGCTATTGTACCTATGTAATCGCAATCGAGCATGTGATCAAACACATGACGTCTGACCGACTTTAACATATTAATTTATTATGCTATAAAACCGATAACAGTTAATGTTAGTTTAAACATTTTATGACACTTTCTTGATATTAAAATATTTTTTCCGTGTTGAACATAGGGTTCTCTTCCGGGAAATCCCGGTACTCATTTTTCCCGGGAATTCCCGATAATCTAATCCTTTATCTAGTTCCGGTACTGACGATGCAATTCCCGGGACTTTCGGTACTTTCGGGACTTGAATAATTTATTTTTAATAACATTTTTTTGACTAGATGCCATCATCTTTTTACGTACACACTATCAACAAATGAAAAAATATTAATAATGTTCCTAATTCATTACTATCCTTTTAAGACTGATTGTTTTATCTGATTGTACTTAGATACTACTTATTATTTCTTTCAACAGCGTGTTTTTTCATAAACCTAATTTAGTTAATTTATGTTTTGTCCCTAAGAGTACACCGTTGATTTTTCGTCGGCCGATAGTTTAGTCGGGCAGTTGATCAGTATGGGCATGTATGGGAGTGCGCACACTACGCCGATTCGATTTGGCCGATTCTTCATACAAATTAAAATCGGGCACAACTATAACGGCCAACTAAAAATCAACGGTGTGCGCCTACTCTGACGTGTCTTTCCCATGACACTTATTATACACGTTACGGGTTCCAAATATAGTCCCCACACGTTAGGGAATAGAAAATGTAGCGTTCATTACCCATCAGGTCATGGCAAATGACAACACCACCATAAACGTGTCTGGACTCTGGACACACCCCGTTATGGCGTGGCGTCATTTGAGCGTGACGTCACTACACTCCCCTTGGCAACCGGAACGGTTGGCGTGCCGAAATGTGGCATTTGTTGGCAAAATGTAGCCTTGCCAACTTTCAGTGCCATAGATGGAGGCAGCGGGTAGGTCAAAGTTGGTTTTAAAAGAAAGTGAACCTTTTAACCATAGATGGTTGGTCAAATCAATTCTTTGAGCAATAAGTACAAGATGGTTTAAAGTATGATGTAATTTCTTAATCACATTTTACCCTGAATATGGGTAAAATGTGATTAAGAAATCTTGAAAATCAAGCTAAAAAGTTCTTTAAAAACTTTATGCTGGGTATTCAGAATTTCTTGAGAGTAACTGATAGATATACTAAGTCAAAATACTATCCGTACTTGAATATCTACAAACGCTTTACAAGTAAGCGACTTCCTAAATTCCTAGCCATAACTGATAATTATGCTAATGTAGCCCCTAAATTATACCTACTTAAACGGTCTTTCAAACTAACTAGATAAGAGAATTTACTCATGTGAATGCAATAAGGTAGGAAATGGATGAAAGTAAACACTTTGACATCTGATGCAGTCGTAATGGGACCTATTTTAAAACCAAAATGTTGCCTATACATTAGACAAGGCTGCCAACATCATAGCATTAATGAGCCACAGTGGCCGGTCACAATAGCCCCTTTGTTCTGGATTCAACGGGGAATTTAGCACATCAAAGCTTGCGTGACGTCACTGCGCTAAGTATTGCCATATCTCAATAAAGAGCGGGGAACGAGTAGAATAGAGGACAGAAAATTGCTATTCCGAAATGTTAAGCGACGAACATGAAACTCACGAAATACAAAGATCTTCTCACTATACTATACATAACTTTTTTAAACCACTAAAATAGTTATAGGCATTCAAATTAGGCGATAAGTGCTTTAACAATAGTTTTTATACAAGCACTAACATCTTAACTAAATGTTACGTTAGAGTCATATCAAAAACATCTAGCTTGATTTAAGAATCTGTTAACTTGTCGTTATAAATAAACTTGTTAATGTATGTGTAGCTGTACGAAAAAGTTATAAACAACATTTTGAAACTGTTGAAACTGTATTACTAGTACGGAAACGATTTACGACAGAAAACCGCGAAAAACCCCACATCAAACGCACCTATAGTCGTATAAATCAAAGATTAAGATGTACAGACGACAACACAACACCGAGACAGCTTAACCAGTTGTAATAGGATCCATTTTGCAACAAAAAGTCATAGACTAAGAGCTAGTGAACGCCAGACCTACGTCATTTTATAAAAGCTGAAAGTTTGTCAGCGTATGCTCCCAAAATAGGATATAATGTTGGTGAATTATGATATATAAATATATCATATTTGGGCAAAAATTAGAAGTAGTTTCCTCAACAGCCAGACAGTTTTGACCGTTCCAACTCCTTGTCAGACAGTTTTTTAGGGTAGCTGCTAAAGCTACGATGACCCAAACTTCATAATTCACCAACATTATATCCTATATTGGGAGCATACGCTGACAAACTTTCAGCTTTTATAAAATGACGTAGGTCTGGCGTTCACTAGCTCTTAGTCTATCATAGTCTGATCAACTGACTGTAGAACATTACACACCAAGGCTACATCACTGGCATCTAAATGCACACAAGCACACGCACACAGAACCCTCACAATCTTGAAAGCTCTCTGAACGCCTGGGTGAGCTAACGAAATGCTCTGACGTCATCAGTGATACCGTCATTACGAGGGGAGCAGTCTGTTCCCTTATTGTCATGACGTCATCGGCGAGCTATTTTAGGGTGCCGGAGTGGCTAAAAGTGGACCTTGACCAGGAATATGATGTCACTTCTAATATTAGATTTGCAAAATTAATAGTCTACCCTTGAGGCAAGCCCATTGAGTAATTTTACATAACCCATTACTCCTATTAGTTTATTATTATCTAGATCAACCAGTAAAATACTATCCAGCTATGTAGAAATCGGCAAAAAGAAATAATCATTATCATTAGCATTTTCAGTTTTCTGTTCCCTTATCTTAAAAGGCCAAGCAGTTTTCAAAAGAAAAGGGTTGATTCCAGGGCCGTCGAAACCTTTTCATACAAACTTTCAAAGGTGATCTGCCATAGTGATTTTATTTTAAAAGTTTCGTGAAGAATGCTGTATTTAAGTAGTAGAATTAAATTAACCTTTTTCGTTAGAGCACACAATCCTAATCACCTCACATTACGGGCTGGATCCAGCTCAAACATAAAAACTAAAAAAATTGCATTTGAACATTTAAAACAAACATCACGTAACAAATCTCGTAAGCGGCAGCATAAAACCAAATGGTACGATATTACGGAGCGCAAAAAGTGAAAGAATGCACTAATTGCAGGAAGCAACGCTCGCGGCTAGGAAGGGAGAGTGGGCAAACA